CAAACACACACACACACACACACACACACACACACACACACACACACTTGTTTGTTTGTTTGTTTGTTTGTTTTTGCAGGACCCAGCCCGAATGCATACTGCAGATCCAGGCAAAGTTGCACCGAACCCTTCGTTAATATGGACATGTGCATCTCTCTCTCTCTCTCATCTTCCACATGCAGTTCTCAGCCAAGCCTCCACCCTCGCAGGCCTGCCCCTGGGAGCCAGGGCGAGATGTTCCGCCGGCAGAAAAGGAGACCGGCTGGCAGTGCTCGGCTTGCCAGAGGATAATAAGGGCTTCTTTACCGCAGAGACGCTTTGCTGGTCGCCGTAATAAATGAAGTCATCTCGAAAAAAGAGCTTTCGCAGCGAGAAATCGGTGACAAAAATAACCGGCTCTTCCGAGCCAGGAGGGTGGGTGGGCGTTCTTTAAGGCTAGGATTTTTTAAAAAATTCCTCAAGAACAAATAACCGCTGTGTTTTGCTCCTAAGCTACCGGCATCACTCACAGAGATTCGCTCCCTCGCTGCCATCCCCAAGGGATGATGGGGACGCGACCGTTCTAAATCGAGTGATGATCTCACCGGGAGAGTCATTTATAGATATATATGTGTGACTGGATGGGCTGAACCTTCAGTGGGGCCTTCTCCTCACCCCCCACTCCCCCCCCCCGTGATTTGCATCAGGAGGGTCCTCCGATGAGCGCCCACTTTCTTAGCCCTTGACTTCCGACAGGTAGAAGGATCCTTTGCCCTGGGAAGAGGGGAAAACAGGGGAGGTGGAGGGGGGGCCATCAAGTGACAGCTGCTAGGAGAAGCAGAGAGGGAGTTTTCTCTGGCTGCCGCCCCGCCGGCTAATGGGAAACAGGCCCCATCTGCAACCACAAGCCGTCCAGCATCTTCCAAGAAAAGGCTCCATTCATCTTCCATCGTTCATCCCAACGAGGAGGAAACTGCAGCATGAAATCATCCGCCCTGTTTATCTAACGGGACGAACCCAATAAATAAACCCATGCCGAGAAGCGGAGGATGCTGGAACAGAAGGAAAGGAGGAGGGAGAGCCTTGAGAACTTGCCCAAAGCCCCATGTAGGACGGCGGTGCAGCTCCGCCAGCAGCACCGGCAAGTAAGAAAGAAAGGGGGGGGAAATGAGGAGAAAGAAAACTCGCCCTGCGTAAGAATAATCAAGGCCAGGAAAGTGGAAAAAGAGGGACGCACAGGGCTGGGAATCTCAGAATGGGCCCCAGAAGCCAGGGGGAAAAAGGCCAGCTCCCGTTGGGAAGGGCAGCCCCTCTATCATGGGGAATGGGTTCACATAGGTTTGAATGCAGTGTCTTCAACTCTGTGGGTGTAGAAGAAGGTGGGCAAGTATCTCCCCAGTTACCCAGTGTGTGCTTGTCCTGGGGCTTGGGAGGGGACATCCAGGGTCTTGCAAAGAATCCAAGAAAGTTGCTGTGGAAGCTGAGAAGATGCCGACAGCCCAGCTGTAAGGGAAATGGGCTGATCTGCCTGATGGTGGACGAAAAAGGAGCTAGCCCGTGAGAAGCAGCCGAAGAAAGGAAGCGGGGAACCTCCCACAGCTTAGCAGCGTCTCTAAAGGGAAGTGGCGGATCCCAGTCTTCTAAATGATCTCACTTGAGGAGTCATGGAGTCTTTCAAGCAGAAGTGGGGCGGAGGTTGACAAAGTCCTAAAAAGAGACACAACATTTCCGGTCGTGTAACTAGATGCATGCCACAGGGAGGTGTACGCCATGCCAGTTCACCTGGTTTGCCTTTGGCCCACACGAGTAACACAGGTTCCTTCTGTTAGCACAGTTTCAAATCAAAATTCAAACTAGGTTTGTAAATGTTGGTTAGAAGAGAACCCTGTTTAGCGTTAGCCATGGTTTGCACTAAACCAGGATGGAAGGCCAGACAGAGAGAGAGAGAGAGAGAGAGAACAAACATGAGAATTCTATGAGGTTAAGAAGAGGGAGCCAGATGGGAGCAAATAAGCTCATGACACTCTGCTCCCCATTGAAAAAGAGATGGAAAAACTTTGGGTAATATTCATTGATTTATTAAACTATTGCTGGCCTCTAGGAACCCCGTCTTCCTCCCCAGCTGAGTCTCTAGGGTCAAGCTTCCAGATGCTCCAGAATTCTGAGGCATTTCTGACGGAAAAGAGGAAAATGACACAATCCAAGCTATTAATCCCATTCAAGAGCTGGGAACAACAGGAGATGCTGTCTGTTTCTGGAATACTCTCTGTCTCTTTCCTCCCCCCCCCTTTAACTGAAGAAAAGCTTAGGCAGTGAAAAACATTCTGCAAAGAAGCAAAATTACCTGCTCCCTCGCAAAAAAAAACAAACAACTGTACATGCAGGATTATTCTAGGAAGGGAGTGGAGATTTCATAGACAAAAGGGGTTGAGTGCTCTGTCTGTTTAGGGACTCCTCCAAATTCTTTGCCAATAATCTACCTTGAACTCCTTCATGGCTTCTCAGAGCAGGAGGAAGCTGCGGCTAAGTGGGGAAACAGCTGAACATGGCATGAAGGGTCATATTGCAAGAAAGGGTCTCTTCTGCACAGAGCTTAGAGGTGACCAAAAGGGAGGCGATTTGTAGAGAAAAAGGAAGAACTGGGAGAATGAAGCACCCCCAATAACGCGGCTCCCCAATATCACCAACCTGCTTCCAATCCTCAGTCACCTTGAACCAGCAGAGGTGTTCAGGAAACAAAAACATTTGCTGACATAATGTGAAGTTTCTCCAGAATGAATTTCAACTCCCATCAAATTATTCCCAGTCATTGGACCAAAAAAAAAGATATAAATATCTTGTTTTTTTCTTCACTCACTTACCTGGTGACCCGAGACACCAAGAAACTCTGGATTTCTGGGCTGCTGACCAGTGCCAGGTTTCCGTCGCCCTGTTCCTGGCAATGTCGCTGGGCTTCCTGCCATTCTGCTTTCTCAGCCACCAGCCAGTAGCAGTGGCTGTTCTCGGAGAAGACCACGCTGTCCCCGGGGCATGTAGGATAGACCGCTGCCGAAGGGAGAATCGAGAGGCAAACCTTTTAGGGTGTGCAAAGGGAGCTCAAGATGGTTGTTGTGGGTTTTTCAGGCTCTTTGGCCGTGTTCTGAAGGTGGTTCTTCAAGCTCAAGATGCTTGACTCAAAAAGAACATATGTCTCAGGCACAGCCTGAAGGATGGGCTGGTATAATAGCCCTTTCTGGACGGATGCTCAGGAGGGGGGAGACCAAGCCCAGGAAGGAAGGAAGGAAGGAAGGAAGGAGACACCATCATTTACCAAGGCATGGCTGCCAAGCCAACCTGATGGGCACGCAAGCCTTCTCGTTCATAAGCTCATAAACTCCTGGCGCTTCCAACAACACAGCCCGTGGGGCACTTGGCCACCCTTCTAGCGATGCAGGAACCTCTGTGGCTCCTGCTCTCTGAAACAGCTGCCGTCGGTAGAGCCAGCTGTAGGAGACTGAAGGCGGAAGAGCCCCGCATGCAACACGGCTATGCAAACCCTGGTTCTGTGGTAGGCCGTAAGCTCAAGAGCAGAGGCGATCAACTGGTCGACCTCCAAAGGTGGTTGGACAACCAACCCCATAATCCCCCACTATTGCTACGTTGGCTAGGGATGGCTGAATTTGTAGACCCACCCACCCTACTCAGCCGAATCAACGACAGATGCAGGTAACCTTTCTGGGTGTCCAGTTTAACGCTTAGTAAAATGGAACATGGCCAAAGAAGGTCGCATCCATGCAACGTGCAGATGCTAGCCTTGGTCCCACTTAGAGGAGCCTCAATGAAATCCGTGGTTGTGATCATGACGGCCTGAAGTCCCATTTATTTCCATGGGCTTTCAGGAAATGGAAATGGAGGCAAGCTGGTGGGTCCTTTGTCTCTGGCATGTCTACCTTCCTCCATTCATGGGCTTTTCAGCAAGAATCCTAACATCATTGCCTGCTGGCTTCTGGTCCGTTTCCTTCTCTGTCTCTCCCTCCTCACCTTTCCCCAAATATAACAGCAGCCATCAGTCTGTCCAGGGTGGGCAGACAGTATTACGGCTGCATCTGGGGATTATGGGAGACGGAGAGCCAGTAAAGCACACTAGCTAGGGGATTTCATGAGGGATTAGGAGACCTGGGTTCAAATCCCATCGCCGGGGAAGACTTCAACTCACCGTGAACAGACTCTTTCTCCTGTGCCGTGATGTTGTAGGTCACTGAAAGGCCGGTCCCTCCTCCGTTCCGGATCTGCACCTGCAGGCTTTCATTGGCTTTCACAAAAGTGGGGCACTGAAGCTCTAGGTCTTCCGGGGACGACACCACCTCCACTTCCATCTGCGCCGAGGTGAACCGGCTGCCGACGAAGACCGTGGCCGTGACGTTGTAGTGGCCGGGCAAAGTGTACCTGTGGAGGACAGGTGTCTTGGTGGTGTTCAGAACCCCCGAAGAGTCCCCAAAGTCCCATTGTAAGACACCAAAGTTGGTCGGGAGATGAAGATGGAAGGCCACGGCTTGGAAGAGGCCGGTGGGGCCACTGGGGCCAGCCACGGAAACGGGAAGCAGAGCAGGGAAGACGTTGGAAACGAAGGAAGGCCCTCCGCAGAGAGAGGTGGCGGAGGCCTCGGCGCAGAACGGCAGACACCCCGAGGAAGAGTTCGGTTCCAGAGCGATGCCGCAGAGGCAGTGGCCGTTGTGGCTGAAACCCCCGTAGTCCAGGTCTTCCGCAAAGCACAGGGCCCCGCACGTCTCCTCGGTCAGGTTCTGGGGCAGGTGGGCCGTGAATCGGACAACGGCGTCCACCGCCCCAGTGTGGTTGTCGGTCAGGCATGCGATGTAGTCGGCTCCTGGAGGGGGGGAACACAAGACACCTGGAACGTCAAAGCCCCCTCTGCCTGCTGGAAGGGCAGCACAGTCCATAGGACATGAATGGAGGGAGACCAAGCCTCCAGGGGAGATGGAGGGCAGTCCATCTCATAGGCTATGAATGGAGAGAGATGTGGCCTCATGGGGACAGGGAAGGCTGTGCGGCCTATAGAGGATATGCCTGGAATTAGATCAGGGCCTCCTGGAGCCATGGGCAGTTCATCCTGCAGGATATGAATGACAGTCACGGAGGGGCCACGACAGACCCTCTGATTTGAATGGCAGTAGGCTCAGCCTCCAGGAGGCGTGGGACCCATTTTATGTGTGTGTTTGTGGGGTTTTTTTTTTGGGGGGGGTGTAATATCAGGCATACTATTACATAGACCCTCTTTGGCACCATCTCACTTAGTGCTCCTTTGTTACGAATTACATCCTGTGCCCTATGCAGGGGAGCGGTCAGTGTCCCCAACATCACGGCCCGTCCCAAAGAGAAGCAAAGGTCCACGCTCATTTCTCGCCTTTCCCCATCAGCGTCAGGCCTGTGCCCCCCCTTCTCTCCTCCTTACCGCAAGTCATATCGATGAACGAGACGTTCCAGAGGGGGAGGTTTGCCACCTCGGGGGGCTGAGCGCATCTGGTGGCCGCAGGGTGGACGACCCTCACGTTCCTTTCCTCCGCCCAGCGGGGCAGCCAGGCCAGGTTGCAGTCGCAAAGGAGTGGATTTGAACTTAGGTTTCTGAAACAAGGATGGCGGGAGGCGGATGGGGGTGTCAGCTGGGCAGGGAAAGGCCCAATGCCTTTCGCTCCACAAATCTCAGCTGCCATCATTCGTAAGAGAGAGGAATCCTAGTGTGTGCACTTAAGAAAAAAACATGCCCAGCCAGTGGACCTAAGGGAGAGGAGCCCAGAACACCCCAGCCATGAGAGAATCTGCATTTCTCAAAGCTCTTCCAGGAGCCCTTGAATCCAAAGGACTAAAAGCAGGTCTGTCGAAAATGCCTGCAAATCAGTTACAAGCCCTCAGAAACGTTCATCTGAAAGCAAAATGAGGAATGCCAACAGACAGAGCTTCAAAGAAGAGAAAGACAGAGATTGCCTTTCAAGTCTTCTTTCTGCTTTGGGTTAGAGATCCCAGCAGAGATGTCTCAAGAGAAGGTGGTGGAGGCTTCTTTGACCCCCATAATAGTTTCTTAGAACCTGGGCTTATGAGCAGCACGAACTAGGGCGGAAAGGGAAATCAGTGAAGGCAGGAGCCAGTCCTCTCTCCCTAAACACCAGAGACGCAGGCAGCTTCAGCCTGGGTGCACTTCAGCCGAGGAAGAGCCAGTACTTTGTAAAGATAATGGCTCTTTTCTTATCCACCGTGGTTCTGATGAAAATCCCTGACCAGCCACTATTCAGTCTTAAAAACACTGCCCTGACAACCAGGGATGCATTTAGCCACCAAGTTGAGTTTGGCTTGACTTGCGGAACGTCTAGTCTAGCCTCCGAAAATGGGAAGTCGGAAAAGCTTTACGTAGCGACCGTCACAACAGGATGAAAAACGGCAAGGGCGCCAGAATAATAAATCACCGGCGTCTCCCGAAAAGATACAAACATTCAGTGTGCTCACTTACATTTCGCTTAAATTAAATAAATTATCAAATATCCCATCTTCTAACGTAGAAATCTTGTTGTTGCTTATATCTCTGCAGGACAGAAAGGACAAAAAGGAAGCAGGAGTTAGAAGAAAGAAAGAAAGGAAAAAACTGCCTCCTTTGTTCACCTAAATATTTGCTTGAAGACAGAAGATAACCTGTCTCCTTTGCTCACCTAAATATTTGCTTGAAGACAGAAGAAAGCAAGAAAGCAAGAGGCCCCAAGGAGCAGTGGCCAGGTGGCCTGCTATCGTGGGCGAGAAGGAAGGCACCGCAGCAAATCCGAGATGCCGCCGGGGGCAGAGGTGGGCACACCTCCACCTTCTGTCAAGCCAAGGGCAAAAAGGAACCATGGGGAAGGAAGGGCCTTGATATACATCCCGAGGAAGGAGGTGAGACCAATGGACCTGGAGAAGCCAGCCTGAGGCGGGCTGGTGCCCCGTTTCCTCTTAGGTGCCAGCTGCCACTGGGCCAGGGAACTTGCTAATTTATCAGCAGCTATTTTGTTTTTCCTTTCTCAGGAACTTAACAATCTGTGACTGATCTCTGAATCAGGGAAATACCTATTTTTCGCTCCATAAGACGCACCAATTTTTTTAGGAGAAGAAAACAGGAAAATGTAATCTGTTTTCTTCGCTCCATAAGACACACAGACTTTCCACCCCCCTGTTTTGTGGGGGGAAAGTGCGTCTTATGGTGCGAAAAATACGGTAAGAAGTGACACAGAAGCACTGCGGCCCTGAGGGAAGAGGAAAGCAGGCTCACCTCTCCGTCCAGCTCTAGCTTCCGAGCTGTCCCTTGTCATGGTCCCTACACCTTCATGCCTGCCATCAGGGGTCAAGGGGCTGGAAACCAGTTTTAGGGTCACTTAAAGCAAAAACTCCCCAGCGGCTGCATGCCAGTTTTTACCACCCTCTTTGTGACTCGCTGGTGAATGCATGAAACAGGAGGCTTGACACACACCAGAAAAAAGGGGACGGGTGGGCCGAACGAGAGAGTGTAGGGAGGTTTTAAAAGATGCAATAAGTACTTACAATCTTGTCAGGGAAGTTAAATGTGCAAATGCTTCGACATTTAAAGCGCTGATCTTGTTACTGGAAAGATCCCTAGAAGGAGAGAGAAAACGGGCCCGTTATTGTTTGCGTTTATTTTGTCTGCGTTCCATCCGCATGGCTTCTCGAAGGGCTCAATGGCTTCAGCTCCGCTCTAGACTCAGACAAAAAGCATTCTGTTGGCCTGAGGAAACGGAGGGAGATCGTCCAGGCCAAAGACAACACCTTTCGGCTGTCAGCCACTCGAGCCTTGCGAGAGCTGGATTATCCATTGAGAGGAACGAGGCTGGAGATGCATAAAAATAGGCCCCCAAATAGCCCAGCGCTAAAATACATTCAGGTGGGACTTTTGTTTATCAGAAAATGGAAAAGGAACGCCTGCAGGAAGAAGCACCCAATTTAAGGAACAGGTCTGTAAAGCCAAAAGGTTCTGCTCTGGCCAAAGTGGGGTCTGAAACGAGCATTTTCAGATGCCAAAGAGAAGGGGAGACGTCAGCATGAAGCCCGTCCTGAGCTTATCTATCCACGTTACACAGTTCTAGCAGTTTCATGACACTTTAGCTGCTACAGCCCCACTCCACAAAATCCTGGGGTGTGTCGTTTAGGGAAGAACTTGGAAACCCAGGAGAATTCTAGTCCGGGGCCATCTTTCTGTGCTTGTCGGTGACATTTCATTTTGGGAAGGCGGAAAGTTGGGCTTCGGGTCAGAACAAGAAGCTCACATTTCCTGTCCCATTCCTGGCATTTCTGCTAAATATTCTATTACAAACGTAGGTAGATGTCACTGGTGTGCAACCACCCACCAGCCTCAGCTGACACATTTCATGGTGAGGACGCCGGAAGAGGCATCCAACCGGCTGAATGTTGCCCACCCCAGTGTATGACCAGTCCCACAACTTCCGCTGCACCTCTGTCTGTCTCTGCATTTTCCACGTGAGACAGGGCGCCGTCTCTTTCTACCACAGATCCAGCGGTCCTCTGTCCCACCCTGACAGTGGGGTCTTCCAACCGACCCTCTCTGCTGAAAGGCTGGCTGGGTCGAGACACCTTCCTAAGCAAAGGCCTCCAACAAAATCTTCTGCAGCCCAAGAAAGGACCTCGTGCCTCGCACGGAAATTCCCACGACTGCTCTGATAGCTGGCGCCCAAACCCCGCATTCCTTCGGATGCTCTAGGCGAGCATGTGTCCAACTCCTCACTCGATGAAGTCAAAACAAGCTTAATGCTCTCAGGAAACGAGGAGACTGGATGAAGTTTACTGCTGGATTCCGCAGGCCATGACTGAAAGTTGCACCTCCCTTGCGGGATTTATTTATCAGCCCTTCAGGAATGATACTGGGATTCTGGATGCAAAGCAGGCAGCTTATTCTAAGATATTTGGGTTGGTACCCCAAGAAACAAAAGGAGGCACATCCAGACAAAGATCTGGATGCTTAGTAAAAGCTACCAGCCTCTCTTCTATCTGGTCCTCTCGGATCTTCCCCCCCCCCCGAAGCTCCACACAGGCCCTTCTTGAATTTAAAGTTCTTGTAGCAGTTAATTACATGCATACACACCTATTTGCACAGACACATGTATGTATGCACTTATATATAAGCAGAACTGTTCTACGCACCGGACACCAACAGGGCGAAGGTTTTCTGTTGCTTCTAAGAAGTGGTGTAATAATTATTTGACATAGATACTTTTTCATTTCAACAGTTGTTTACTTCAATATTTCATATTTCCTTTTTTTAAAAAAAAATCTTCAAAAACGATTTACAAAATAAAACCATGATTACCATTAAAATCTAATCAAGCAGCTGAAATAACAGCCTGTTTTTGTTCTAGGCTGACTGATGGGCAGTTCTCGGAAGGAACTCCCCTTAAAACAACAACAACAGGAGGCTTCGTTTGCTCCTTGACGCCAGGTTGAAATTTTAAGATGAAGGAAGCCATCAACCAAAGAGGCTCCTTTGGCGGAGATGCAGGCAGGAAAGAGGAGAAATTTTCAAGAGGCTTGGGGTGCTAGTTTGGGAGAAGGGAGTCTGCTGTGCTATTTCTCTCTCTCTTTTCGAACAGAGCATCGCCAGCAATTACTGTACATTTTTGCAGCACGTCGGCTGCCTGCAAGATGAAGCAGGGAAGGGTGTTTGCAAAAACGCTCCGCGCATACTCTGCGGATGGCCGCCGACGTGGACCCAACCGACGACTCAAAACCTTTGGCGCTTCGGCTCCCGAGGAAGGAGGTATTCCAGAATCCCACCTGGCGTCATTCCTGCCGACTCCCACTCACAGGGCCGAAGCCCAAAAACACCAGGTTGGCTGAGGAGGGCTCCACGCCGCAGAACCGCCGCTCAAGACAGGTTGGCCGCTGTCCACTTGGTCGAGGCTCTGTTGTTTTTAATACCTCAAATCCATTTTCCTTGGCTCCCTGACGCGTACATCCCGTCCCGCTTGCTGCTTAGAAGGGTTTTCCATCTTCTGCCCCAAATATCCAAATGATGTGCTAGGAAAAAAAATCACTTTTCCCTGCTTTTGCTGTGAAGCTCGTTTGGTAGAAAACGTCATTTTGCACAAGCCTTCCTTTGGTGTTTATATATATAAATTCCAGACTGACTTGGTGCTCTTCATTTATCCCTGATTTTAAAGCAAGGTTTGTTCAAGCAAAATATGTATTTGGTTACTTTGAAGGTGGCGCAGCATCAAAGAGAAAACTCCAAGGAAACCGTTCAACACCGGGTGGTGGCAGAAAGGCAATTCTGCACATGGCCAGAGACCCTCGTTATTATTGTTGTTATTAACTTTGTTGTTGTTGTTTAGTCATTTAGTCTCATCCGACTCTCGGCAAAATGAGGCTCAAGGTTCAAATGCAGGGGGAGGAAAAGCTACATTTCCAGACAGTGTGAGCAGGAGCTGAAGTGCTTTGAGATTTGCAGTCCCAAAAAAAGGGGGGGAGGAATTTTCTCCCCATTTCTGCTCAGACTGTGACCTATGTGGCCTCCGAAGTTTGGTATCGGGGTTGAAGCCGTCAACAATAAAGCTGTGAGGAACGATGAGGAGGAGGAGAAATTAAGCACAGCTTTCTCCACTTGGCCACCCATCTTCTTTCCTCCTACAGTATAAAGAGCCACTCTGTGTGAACTAGGCTTGTTTAAAGCCATACCAGGAAGAAGGGCCTCCAAGCCATCGGGCACAGGAGACTGGGTAAACGGGATGCCCTCCATTTTTTTTTTCCAGAATCAGAAGCATGTGTCTCAGGATTTGAAAAAAGCAGAGGGATAGCAAGAGAACATGGGGGAAAGGATGCTGGGAAGGATTTCCTGGGGGGGGAGAAGGCAGCTAATTTTGGAGGTCTAATTACAAGACTCATGTACTCATTGAGAAAAAGCAGGCATTGCAGCCGTCTCTTGTTAGGGGATTCAGCCGCACTGTCAACAAGAGGCCTTCTTTCCATGATATTCCACAAGCTTTTGTTTAGAATTTCTGTGTGTACACAAAAAAAGCAACCCAACAAAAGCCAGGAGCGCTGGCAGACAGCGAGACCCTGCCTGCTCCTTCTGGTGGCTACCTGTACGCTTCTGTTCTCAGCAGACAGTCCTATGACGACATGCCAAGAGCTGGACCCACAGGTATTTTAAGGTTGCAACCCATTAACAGTCTGTATACATAATAAGGCTGTTCCTGGGGTAACTTGCAAGTAAAACAATAAGATGAAATACAATGAAACAATATAATATCCTCCTAGGCAAATAAACAATGTATAGGATCAAATTTCCTATCCGCTCTGCTTCCGCCCCCCACTAGCTACCTGCATTCTGAATACTATGTTTTTTGCTTGCTTGCTTCCTTGCTTGTTTATTGGTCTCCTTTCTCCCAATAAGGGCACCCAAGGCAGTTCACAATATTAAAAAGAATAGAATTTAAAAAGTAATAAATTAAATATTATGAAACAATTCAACTTTACAGTAGTTATAACACGGTTTTGCTTGCCTGTCCTAATTTCGGCTGTGGTGGCTTTCATTTTCCTGCTAAAGCCTGCCTGTCCTCCTAAACACCCAGAGTTGTTATCACAGAACTGCTACACCGAAAGGCATCAAGCCCTAACTAAGCCCAGGGTGCCCCAGACCCTTGCACCCCCTCAAAAAAAAAAAAAAAAAGATACAGACCAGTGTTTGCAAGCAGGCACAAACGGCTCTCTGTATTTCCTTTTGGACTTTCTGCCAAAACTACCATTACAGTATTAGCTTCAGAAATCCCCTCCCCGCCAACACAGACACACACACATTCAAAATGATCAGACCCCAGGCCAAAGCAGAGGACAGCCACTTTTGAGGGGACAAAACATGGCACTAAGACGGTCACCAGTCCTGCGTCCCTTGACGGGGTGAGTGAGGGCACAGACAGACATTATACATTTACCGGGTCCCAGGTCCCCAGTGGGGGGCGGGTGGGGGGACGTGGAGAGGGGATCTAATAAATTTAGTGCTACTGGGAGATCACATGCTTAACTACTGCTGTGGAGCTGTGTTGGCCATTCACTGAGGAGTCTGGCCGTCGCATCTCTGTATTACACTCCTCTCTCTCTCTCTCTCTCTCT